GGGGGGGGGGGGGGGGGGGGGCTCGCCCTTTTTTTTATCGGATTAAGACGGGCGATCGAACCGGGAGATACCTCGTGGGTCAATTAAAAGCTATTGTTTTCGTTAAGTGAAATGTCGATAGTTCCGGCGGTCTGACAGTTATGCTTGTTGCTGTAAAAACCAGTTTCATTACTTGATGTTTGGGTTTTTGTTCTCTTTCTCCAATCGGTTTTTGTTGTTCGAGAGAAAAAGAAACCAGTTCCCAGCGATAACACGTGGAGAGAACTTTTACGGCTCCTTTTTGCTTGTTTCGGTTTTATTTCTTTTGGCGATATGGAAGTGAGTCGAATGCAGAGTCAGCAGGAAATGAAATACATTTTGCACGAAAGCGAGTGGTGATTAGGTTCATTCGGCTTTGTCAGGTGGAGATAGTTAATGGATTTTTTTATGATTTTGGGGGATCTTTGGGTTTAAGAAACGGATAAGTTTGCGTAATTCTATTATTATTATAGCGATATGAGGTCGAGAGTGAGAGACTGGGACAAATTCAAAAGAATTTGTTGGAAGCTGTAGGGTTTAAAAAATGGAATTGTATTGTAGTTTTCAGGAGTGATATTGGATTCGATTTAGAGGGAAAAGAATTCTCAATGAATTTGAAGAGTTTCAAGTAAAACTAGAACGGAAATTTTGCAACTTGAATTTCACACTTTATTTTTTTCACAATTTATTCACACTTCAGCAGAAATGTCACTTCTAGAAACACTAATTATCGATGTGACTTTATCTTTAATGAAAAGTGAAAAATCCACTTTTTATCGTGGATTATATTTTTGTTTGGGGAGAAGTCACTCGAGAAACGAAATCAGCTAAGTTAAATCGCCTTTCCGTTTGTTTTTTGTAAGTAGACTTTCCATATCCTCTTACTTTATTTTTGTACGAGGGACTGGAGAGCTGACGAGGCCTGAATCATGTGAAATTTTACATTTTTTCCATTGTGGTAAAATGAGATTGTAGGAACACTGAATCTGAATTCTGAATTTTCAGTGTTGTAAATTTGAATTCAATTCGAAATCCAATCGTGAGTGGAATCGTTACCATTCATCTTTCCATGTTGGGCTATCTCTGATATTTCAATGACTGTCTGAATTTCCAAACTCACTGCAGGATCTGAACATTATATTCAAGTAAATTTTCAATAGAATGAAAATCCAAGTTTTGCTGCTCGCAAACTTGGAATTCCATTAAATTTTTTGTTTTGAAAAATCATGGAATTTTGAAAATTTCATCATTCTTTCCGCCCTGAATTGAATTAAATGATCAACGAAATAACACCAAACAATTCACGATAGTTTAATGTAATCAATCGTTAAAAGTTTCACGATTCTCTACTCGAACTTTCAAGAGTAATTTTTTACCAGTGAATTGACAATTGTTAATGTTTCACCC